ACATGGTTCAAAGTGATGATAATCGTACAACTTTCTATACGTATTTGGTAGGAAACAGGCCAAATTACCGGATTAGTAAAAAAGAGGGTGGTTTACCGAATTGGTAAAAAAAATCACTTGAGACGTATTGGTAAAAAAGAAGAAGCCCTAGTGACAGATTGGTCAATTTTTTGTGAGTGAAACACTTTTGATCCTCAACATTTCATATCCTAAGTATTGTGAAATTGATATTTTCAATCTTTCTCCTTTGATTTCATCATAAAAAATGGAGGATTAAAAATGTCAACGGACATGTTTGATAATAGCAGTTGTCAACTAGCTAATAGCCGGTTCAATCAGCAGATTATACTAGCGGACTGCGTTAGCTTTTTTAATAATCGTTTTCATTAGCGGTTGAAATAATTTGTTAATAACTTAGCTGTTTATTATTAGCTTTTAAGACGTAAAATGACCATTAAGGATAAACCACCTTTTTTATCAATTTGGTAATTTGGCCATAGGAAACAAATGCATTTATGTTGTATATATGTAGATGGCATTGCCATTACAATAGGGATCACTCAACTCAAATTATATCTCTTTAGCACATTCCAAATGGAGTAAAGTATATGGGGAAGTTAAAGTAATTGATTGGTATTGAGATCTCATTATCTGGCAACAATATTTTCTTCTTTTTAAGGAAGTATATAAGGGGAGTTCATACCGGATCAAGGTAGATACAGAAGACTCATTAGTAATTGAAACTGAAATATGTTGCAGTTGCAAGACTAGATGTCTTCAAAATCTTGATGGTCACAAAAATCCTCCAAAATCTAGTATACATGTAAACACATTTTGAAAAAATACGACATATGAAAACGGACAACCCAAACATTTGTGATCCAAAAACAGGTTGAATAAGAACATAAGATGCAAACAAATTAGACTGCATGTTAATTGGGCAATTAGGATGTTTTTATTTGGACTACTTTTAGTCCCAAATCAGATCCAATCAGACCCGACTTAATTGCATAGTTATAAATCTCCTGACTTTTATTCAGACATTTATCAGACTAGACAAGTTCAGTTCAGACCAGAAAATTTTAGTTCAATTAATCAGAAACATCTTATTCTATAAATCTCCATAAAAAAAAGTATTACTCCCAGACAAAGATAGTATTACATGCAAGAAAACATAGTCGATTTAGATTTTATCATAATTTGCCTACTAAAAAGGGTCGATGATCTTACACTACTAAAGTCTGTAAATCCACCATTTCTTATTTAATATGTAATCCATACAAGCTGAATAATTTGACCTAAAACAAGCTGAATAATTTGAGGTGAACAAATAGACCAAATCGTTCCTCAATTGTCTTACTCCAATTTATAGATGTTAAAAAACCCAACTGGACCATATTGACATCCATATTAGTGATTTAATCCATATCTTATAAGATGCTAATTTTTATTTAAATTTAGCCGATGAAGGACACACATTTACACTCAAATAATCTTTTATTCATTTACTACCACATAGCAATTACAGCAATGCCAATATGATTAAAATAATGCCAATAAAATCTAAATAATTCTTTTTTTTACAGAAAAATTTAAATAATTCTAAGAAATTAAATATGATGAATCAAATAAATGAGCTCCTCTACTCAACCCCGCCATAACATTATTAATTACTCCTATTAGACTGCATGGATGAATGTAGGTTGATGGTTGACCTCTTCATCTTTCCCCAACTCCAAGTTGTTCACTCCTTCATCACTAATAGGAGTGGTGCTTCTTTTGGTGCACATCCTATTGGCAATGCAAGACAAAAAGCTCAAAAGCAAGATCACCCCCACCACCAAATATGCCTTCCGGAATGACCCGACGTCGGAAAATGACCACCCCGATGGCGGCGACGCTGATGACGGAGACGGGACAGTATAATTGCTGTCGCCCGGAAGAATTGGGACATTGTCATATGGATAGTATAGGGGTTGGATTGGTAGAGACGACATTCTTCGATCTCAAACTAGCAGAATGGACACAGAATGATTTTACTTCGTGAGCTTGGTTTAATGTGGTTATTTCTGAATTTTGATTAATATATAGAGGTTGCAAGAACGTAGATTTGTGTGATTTTCCAATTGATTAGGAAGAAACATAATTTAAGCTAAGTTGCCTAATCTACCTTAGAAAGTCAGTACTTCACTTGAAGCTTCTAAATTGGAGTAAATTATTACATGCAAATACATGCAGTATCCACATAAAGATTTATATTTTGAAAGAAACTCTGCATAAAGATTGGGAAAATCAAAATATGTGATTTTTAATTGTCTTAGTTCGATACTTTCCTTGAATAAATTTAGACATATCTATGTATGCGAGGATTGAGAAAAGGAAGTCACAAACTTTTATACTAAAAAATGTATAGTTATTCATCCAATAAAGTAACTTCAAGGGAAAAGTGTATGGTGTATACGACCATGATTCAAAATAAAATCTAGTTGATTTAATACATAATAATTTAATATATACTCTCTCTATTTAAAATATATACACTACAAAAAAAAACATGAGATTGACAGGGATTTGACCTGGATTTTGGTAGGGATATGACAAATCCGTGCCAAAAACACTTTGGCACGAGGTATTTGGCATGAAAAATTGATAAATCCATGCCAAAATCCGTGTCAATCCCGTAATTTTTTTGTAGTGTATATATTTTCCTTTTTGAGATGCATTTTAACTTTTGATATATTTTCCTTTTGTGAAAAGATACAAATATACCCTTGTAGTATGAGCGTGAGAACAAATATATTTCATTCTCTTTTTTGGAACAAATATACCACTGAAGTTTATGTAGATGTTCATATATACCCCTGAAATTTTAAAAGGTGCAAAAATACCCCTCATGTTTCTATAAAGAAGCAACTTTACCCTTATTGACTTTAAATGAATAAGATAAAGTTTAAAAACACTAAAAACATTATAATTCGAAATTCAAAAAAAAATATTAAAGAGTTAAAAATAAATATTTATTTTTATTTTAAAATTATAACTCTTTAATTTTAAATTGCTAAATTATTATATTTCCGTTGTAAATGAAACACTTGAAATGCATAAATATTAATTTTAGTCTTGTTGCGAAATTTTGAACACATTGTTACATTTTTTGAAATAACATTCTTTGATTTTGCTTAATTTTAATAAAATTAAATTCACTATTTTGTAATGTCAAACTATTTATCATCATACCAATATATGTAATTTTGTAGTGCAAAAAAAAAACAAAAAATTAATGATTTTTTTACATTGCAACATACTCCGTATATGTTAACACACATTTCCGAAAGAATCTTAAACATATAAAGAGTTTTGAAATAATATTTTATAGTAACAATATTAAATTGTGATATAAAGGGAGAATTGGACACAAGTAGATCTTTATTTATATTTTATTTCAATTTCAAATTTATGATTTGTTTTTGGTGTTTTTCAAATTTGTTTTGTACTAGAAGGGTATATTTGCACTTTTTCTCTTCCCTTTTTGATAAGTTTTTTCTTAAAAAAACTCGATTACCCTTATTTTTCTATTTTTTATCTTCTATCCATACCCGTACTTTTCTATCTTCTAATCATATCCTCTATTTTTCTATACTATTTATTACCTCTACTACTTTTTGCTTAAATATTATGTCAAATTCTAGAGCCCGTTTAGTGAAAAAGTTGGCTATAAGTCTGACAAGCCGGGTCACCAAATGGGCTCTTTCTTTTTCGACTTATCAAACTTATCAGCCAACTTTTAAAACAAACATGTAATTTTTGATTTCACGTACTAAATTGTGTAATAATAAGAAAAAGTAAGCTTGAGGTTATTTTTCTGACTGTATTGACTGAAGTTACTGTACATGACCATTTTAGCTATTTTCATATTTTTTTCTTAATTTATCAATAAAATAATATTTTAGATCTAATATTTTCATAAATCAGAACTTCCTAAATTTCAGCACAATCAACTGATTTCAGTGTTACCAAACCGGTTCCAGTCACAACCATTCGGCCCCTTTGAGTCGGCCCCTGCGAATAAGTATTTGTAAATGTGGAATTGCAAAATAAAATGTGAAACATTTTGACATTTTGTAATTTATTTATGCTTCACTGTAAGTAAATATGTATCCATGTTGTCAATTGGTGTCAACTGCACTGTATGCCGTATTATGATCAATGTTGTATTTAGGAGCGCAAACGAGCCGAGTACGAATATGGGTATGCTTGAGCTTGATAAGAATTCATAATCTCAAGCTCGATCTCGAGCTTGGACGAGTTAAATAATTCGGGCTCGAACTCGAGCCGAGCTCGACTTGAGCTCCACTCCAGCTCTGTTCGAGTTCGGTTGCTAATTATTTTTATAGGTTTGAAGTCGAATAAGATGCTCGAACTCGAGCTAAAAATATAATACGTTGTACCTGTCCATTCTCATTTTTAGTTTATATCTCCATAATTGACACTTTTATTCTTTATTTTACTGTCGATAAATATTACGGGTACATATTATAATTAATATAGATTATGGTTATAATAGTAATACTACATACATGTTATTATTTTTGTAATTATTACTATTACAATATACTTCGTGATAAGTATTGAAAATGCAATAGTCCTTAATCAGAATACACATTCCAAAAAAAGTATATATATAATCATTACATTTATAATTATTACTCCCTCCGTCCCGTAAAGAAGTTCCTAGTTTGACCTACACACATATTTGTGTAAGGTAGAGTTTTGTTTTGACTTTCCAGGTATACCATTACTTTATGTCAAATCAAACAAAAAGTGGGTAAAAAGTAAGAGTAGTTGTAACTTTTTGGTTAAAAGTAGTTTCCTTTTATAGAAATGAGAACTTCTTTTTGGGACATCCATAAAAGTAAAGTGAGAAATTCTTTGCGGGACGGAGGTAGTATATACTCCGTATAAAATATGACACAAAAGCTCGTGAACCGGCTCGCGAGCCACGAGTCTAAAATAAATAGGCTTGAATTGAGCTTGTTAAATACTCAAGTCGAACCAAATTCAAATCGAGCGTAATATGATCGAACTCGAGTCGAGCTTTTCCGAACGATCCACGAACCGCTCGCGAACGGCTTGACTCATTTGCACCCCTAGTTGTATTTAACACCTTCCATTAACGGTTGCCGGGGGCTGTTTTTATTTTATTTTAGAGACGGAGCGAGACACAGAGTACAAGATGCTTCTGACAAAGATTTTCCAGCTGATATAAACGATCACCTTTTGAGAGAATCAGTTACAACTGTTGTCCGTATGTGTTTTCGGCCCTCATGAATAGTGGAATCAGTGGGCCTTTTTTATCATACAAAGGCATTTGCCGTTGCAGAGGTTTCTCAGCAGCCAGCAGTCATCCTTATTCAAAACTTGAACGCCATTGACGTTTGAGAACACTCACATGGAAGCTCCGGAGATCTCACTGCAATGGTTAAGGCCACTTGTAGAATCCAAGACTTGGGATTACTGTGTTGTTTGGAAATTGGGCAGTGATCCTTCAAGGTGCATGTCTACATTCCAAAGCTTTTTAGCCGAAAAAGATGATATACTTGGTTTGTACTCATGGTGTTTGATCATTTGCCTTTGTGAGTTTTTAGGTTTATTGAGCTGGTGGGGTGTTGTTGTTCTGGTGCATATGGGATTCTAGGCAATGTCAAGGAAGAAGATAAAGTGGAGCAGGGTTTGGCTCATCTGTGCAGGGATGTTCATATTCAGCACTGTGTCTCAACAATGGCTTGTGAAGCACTTGCTGCTTTCCCTTATTCAATTTCCTTGTATTCTGGGTATGTGTATTCATTTTTCATTTTCATTTTCATTTTCCTTGTATTCTGGGTATGTGTATTCCATTCTTAATATTTTTTTCCTTTCTGAAAATACAAGAAAACATCTCATTTGTTGACTAATGAAAATAGGAGTAGAGGAGAAGTAGTAATGATGAACGAAACCCAATGGTTAATCCATGGAGATGCATCAGGTTCAAAGCCTTCAGATGTGAGTTTCACTCTATTTTCTTTCTATTATGTTTTTTTGAACTTTGAGAGGAACCCCTTGAGTTATGATTTATTAATGTTGAGAGAAAATTCCCTAAATATGACTACATTCTTTTTTTAGGACTGAATAAATAAGTCACACTTTTAAGATAAACCAAGTCTACCTACTCCTACTTATGCACTTTACTCATGTTTTCCTTTTATTTGTAGCCGTCTCTTTAATGTTGAGTTGGGGAGTAAGGCAGGTAATGGGTATATGATATTCCCTCTGTCCCATAATTAAGTTCAGGTTTGAATTTTAAGTCTTTAATATAGACCATTTCACTGCTTATATTCAAGATCATAAACTTATAAAATGCATAATACTACTCCATATGTAATTAATAAAAAAACATTTCAATACCATACATCAAAATAAAGCATTCAAAATTATTTTCATGTTATACAGTCATATAAATACTACGTATGATTTTTGAATAGTTAATGGTAAAAGTTAATGTAGTTTGATTCAAAAAGTCAAACCATGAACTTAATAGTAGGATGGATGAGTAATTGTTATGCGTTCAAAACATGGAAAACCTGAGTTCTGCCTAATGAACGCCTTTTATTTTGGAATGAGACTTCGAGCTCGTTCGGTAAGAGTTATTTGGCTAAAGCTGCTATATTTTCCAAAAGGAGAACCTTTGGTAAAATAGGTTTCAACCATAAAAGAAGCATGAAGAGGCTACTTGTTTTGCTTATTTGCAAGTTGCAACCAAACGGGGCCTAAGAATGCGTAGATGAAGACCCTCATGAAATGTTTTCATTGCTCCCAGGAGTTTATTACTGGCACTCGGGTTTTGATCCCCATCGTCGGTGGTCTTGTTGAGCTCTACAATTCAAGGCTGGTAACACTCTCATTCTTTGACTATCCCTAAAACTATGTATTCATGAAATTGTAATATCTCAAACCAAGATCTTCTGTTCTCTACCTCTGTCATTTCCTTTTCTGTTTCTATAGATTCCAAAGGATCAGAAGACAATAGAGTTTGTTCGCAATAGGTTCAAGATCTATGTACAAGGCAGTGTGAATAGAAAGCAGTCAAAGCACCTTTACAATACGAGAAAAGAACATAAAGATCTTCATGAAATTCCCAACCAGTGGCCAAGTAGCTGTTTGGCTCCTCTTCATCTTGGTTCACACTATCTTTCTCAAACACCTGAACCCTATAGTGGCCCAAGCTTACAAGGATCATCTACCGGCTCTACTCCTGCAACAACTGAACTCACTCAATGTGATTCACCATTTGATCAGTCGGTGGACCTGTTCGAGAAGAAGCTCAATTTACACTTCAATCATTTTCCTGCCACAATGAAAAGCAATGTTTCGTCACCGACTTGCATTAACAATGACATTGCTAAAAAAAGGCAAAGAGGACAACACTGTGCGAAGAATCTTGTGACAGAGAGAAAAAGAAGAAACAAAATCAAAGATGGGCTCTATGCTCTAAGGGCTATAGTTCCCAAGATCACTAAGGTAAGGTATCACTATGTTATTGTTGTACCCAGAAACATTTAGGGAAAGAAAAAAACAATGCTAATGGTAGTTATTTTCTTTTGTTTGGCCTGAACTCAGAAAATGCAAAAGGAAAATGAGAAATAGAAACTTAGTTATTGAGTTTGAACCAATGTTTGATTTCTCCCAACATGTTCTTTTCTTCAAAATGTTCCTATATTTTCCTCTCATTTCTTTCCCTAGCATTTTCTGAGTTACAAAAAGGCCCTTACATTTCGTTCAAAAGATGATATTGGAGTTCATTCAAAATTTTCTCTTTGACTCGTGAGAATTTCTTACAGATGGACATGGCTTCAATAGTTGGAGATGCTATTAATTACATAATGGAACTTCAGGAGAGCTTGAAGGAACTTGAGAATGAGCTCAATCAAATTGATACAGAAGATGTCATTCAGGAAAGAGACAAACATATGACCCCTGAGAAAAGACAGAGTCCATGCAACATCAATAACAAGGTACTCCCAGTCGGTTGTTTGGTTTCCCAGGAATATAAACTTACTTTCAATAAAATCTATTGGTCTTTCATCATATCGCTCCCTCCCCCTGAGTTGATCTTCCCAATTGAAAATATTCTACGTTTGATCCTACTAGGCTACTACTACTATTAGGTCTTTTTCATTTTTGGTCCCTGAGTTATTTTTCCCACTTTTGGTTCCAAACAAAATTTATGTTTACCTTTTGTCCTTTCGATCACTTATGTCCAAAAATTGTTGGACCTAAAGTGACTTTCCGGATAAGTTATGTGAAGGACCTAAAGTGACTGCAAATTAATAGTATAAAGAGAGGCCTCAAATTTAATATTTTCTTTCCCAGTTTTAGGGGGTAGTAGGATCAGTTTTCAAGTAGTAATATTGTTTGGCTGTGTGGAGGAGGGAGGCAAACTCTCTCTTATTTATTTTCCATGGGAATAACACTTTCATGGCAAACAAAATTACTTATGCTTGATTCCTGACATTTAAATATTGTGTATTCATATAAATAAAAGTCTGAACAAATTCTGCATCTTTTCTTGAAGGTCCATGTGGAGGTCAACCAGATTGGTACAAGTGTTTTCATGCTTAGATTCATGGGAAAACATTGCAGGGGTCAATTCTCAAGGATGATGGAAATTATGGATTCACTAGGACTTCAAGTACTTGAAGCTAATGTTACCACATTCAATGGATTAGTCTTAAGCGTCTTCAGAGTCGAGGTTAAGGTCCAAATTAAGAAAAATAATTCTTAAATAGATTTTAAATGAAGAAAAACTTTCAAAAGACTATGAGTAGAGCAGGTCTAGGGTTTTGTGTTAGGCTAGAGAAAGAATGATTGGACTGGGCTGAAAGAAATATTGGGATGGGCTAAATGAAAACAAATTACAATTAAAAACTATAAAGAAAGGAAAATGGGCTACCATGGGCTTCAACCCACCATACCCTAGTGTGATGTGTCGATTCGTGTTAGCCGACCCCAAACTCTTTTGGAACTAAATGCAATCTAGTTTACAGGTTGTTGGTTGAACTTCATACTTCATAGCTTCTCCTGCATTGACATCGCTACAATTTTGGCAGGATCAAGCAGATGGAGCATACGATTCACAAAAGCTAGAATATGTGTTGGTTCAGCTAACAAATTGGGAGTGCTAAACAATGTACAGCAACTGATCTGCAAATCAAAGAATACCTCTCTAGTTCAAACTGCATGTCCAATGCACATCATGCCTTTGGTCTGATTTATTTCTTACATTAATTTTAGTATGTTAGTAGTTTTCGAAGTACATATGATGTTATGTAGATTGAGTTCATCTGTGGATGTTAAGGAAGAAGAAAAGACAAACTTCTTTGGCAGTTCACAGGCTTACTCCTTTGCTTTAATCTAAAGGCATATATGTCTTCGGTGACCATTCTTGATCAAGTACGTGTTTTCTAGCAGAAAACAAACTGCTCTTATTGCTCATAGCTAAATGTCATTTAATATGTCACACAAATTAAGAATCAGTTTCATTGTAACAAATCATGGTAAAGATACTATAATACAATTTAGAACATGAAATAATTATAAAAATGTTTGTAAAGTAATTGTAGCAAGGTTAAAATTAAGACCGGAAAAGACTCAACTAGGAGTGCTAAGTCTTGCATACCCTTGTACAACTAGGGTGTGTTTGGGAGTTGTATTTTGGAGGTGAGGGGAAGGTTAATGGGGTTATGACCCTCCTTTTCATGTTTGGGAGTTTAAAAAATTGGAGGGGATGATTTTAGAGGGCTTTTGTAACCCTCCAAATGCTTAATTTTTAAGTTCCCCCAATTTGGAGGGTTTTGGATGATAATTAACAAGATGGTAATTTAAGCTAAATTAGAAATGAATATTAGCTCAATAATTTGAATTTGTCATATCTCAAAGTGATTTTAATTATAATTCCTTCAAAAACCATTTCCTTCCAATTTTATTACTCCCAAATACAAAGAAAGGCTTCCTCACCCTCCCTTTCCTCTCCAACAACATACCTTCAAAAACTTCTCCTCCCCTTCCTTCCGAACTCCCAAACATACCTTAGGGGTAGGACAACATGGACTAAACGGTGGGCTAGGTTAGCATAGCCCATAATCAGGGTAAAATTTACGCTCAATTTTTTCATCTATAGTGTGAACAAGTTACTATTTTGTTCGTTTAGGGTGTGTTTGGGAGTTGGGTTTTGGAGGAGGGGAAAGTTGATGGGGGTTTGTAACCCTCATTTTCATGTTTGGGAGTTTATAAAATTTGAAGAGATGTTTTGGAGGGCTTTCATGACCCCTCAAAACCCTCTAAAAGCTCAATTTTTAAGTTCCCCCAATTTGGAGGGTTTTGAAGGATAATTAATGAAATGATAATTTAAGCTCAATTAAAAATAAATATCAGTTCAATTATTTAAATTCGTCATATCTCAAAGTGATTTTAATTATAATTCATTCAAAAATTCTCTTCTTCCAAATTTATTACTCCCAAATACAAAGAAAGGGTTTCCTCACCCTCTCCTTCCTTTCCCCTCCAACAACATACCTCCAAAGTCTTCCTCTCACTTTCCCTCCGAACTTCCAAACATACCCTTAAGTTCTACTACTATAATATTTTTTTCTCAAAAAAAAAGGGAATGTAACTACACATGTGTTATGGAAAACGGAGAGAAGTCGGATAGTGCATATGTGCAATAGATAAAAGCTAGAGAGAAAAAATGTTTCAAAAGAATGACGGGTAATAGTAAAACAATAATTTTAAAACATGTAAAAAACTACGTAGTATAAGAACGTGGATTATTGAGAATTTAATTGTTAAAATGATAAAACTTCATAAAAAAGAATCTATCTCACCCCAAGAAGCTGAAGTGATTTTTTACTTTGCAATCGATGCTTGTGTGACTACCTTTGTTAAAATATTCAATTAATTTATAATAACTTTATTCATTTAATATATGGTTCATTTAAAAAACATTACATAGTATTATACTTCTTACTTTAAAATGTAGAGTTTATAACATTTTTTTAAAAAGCGCCAACGATAGAGTGTCACCCGTAGCCCGTAAATCAAATTCTTCCATTGTGAATTAAAGTTAATGACATTGTAACTGAAATTGTCCATGCAATTTCATATTGTGAAAAAAAGTGAAGCTAATTACGTTATAAATTTATAATATTAAATAAAATTACAATATGTCAAATTTTATACTTTAGTTCTCAATCATTTGTGGCAACATATCTTTGCACATACAATAAAAAAACATATCTTTGCACGCTAGGTTTTCTCACCTAGATACTTGATATTTTTAATTTTACAAATACTTCTACATAATATCAATCTTTTAAGGATACGTATTTTATTTCCTTAAAAGATTGAACAAGCTTGGGTAGCCCTGAGAAATAAGATGTCTAATACAATCAGGATACTGACTAATAATTAATTCTAATTATTTTACACTATTAAATACAACTGTTAGATTAGAAGCAAATAATATCTGAAACAATCAAGGAGTACCATTCTAATGAAAATCACTCTACCTCTGTTTGACAGTGTACAAGTAAAAAATACACTTTATCACTTCGCTCTTTAATTTTTCATGCACTGGAGCTCATGATTATAATCATGTCTTTCACACATTTACAAAGAACTTGTTATTGCTTTTCAACTCTTCCTTCATGGCAAGTTTATTTCCAAGAATCCCAGTACAGTTGTGAGTTGTTGATGCTGTAATGCTAAACAAATGTTTTTGTTGTATTTGATAAGGCATTGTACATCCTCCCTTCCCAGTCATGTTTAGACTTTAGAGGTAATATCTTCAGGTGCTTCTTCCTCTAATTGGGCAAATTCATGTCAGCAGTTCAACACTGGCAAAAATTGTCATCACAAACTCACATATTTATACATATAATCAAACTGAATCCATGGCCATCACATAGAATACACATGCCTATGGGAAACATTATTTTATCAAAGTGTAACGATAACAGGCCCCATGATGTTAAAGTTTCTTGGTTCTATATAATAGTCTGTAGTGTAGTTGGTAGTACAATAGCATACTTAGGCAGCAGCATCAACAGCAAGACCTGTAGTAGCATCATCCATCCCAAATGTTTCAATGTACTTTTTCCTTGCGTCGAGATGGTCATGTGGGCGGTTGAACGGAGTCCAAACTGGGTCACCAACAAAGAGTCGCATCGCCTGGAAAAAAAACAAAAGGCAGTTTTTGAGAAATCACAGCACGCAAAAAAACAGCTACTGATTCCGTGCTGGACTGCTGGTTTATCACTTTACATATTTCTTTTGGAAATTATGATGTTCAATTGATGTATGTGTAGAATAAATGCGAAATAACTCTTCCTTCCGCTTCTCCTCCAAAATACAACTCCCATACATAGCCTTGGGGAGAGAGGATTACACCCGCACGGGTAGCTCAATTGGGTGAGCGGTGGGAAAAATTGGACGTAGACCAAGGTTCGAATCCCGCAGCGGACAAAAGGGGGTTTTCAGAACCTGAAATAAGGCTGACCCTCTGTTGCGCACGGGTAAAGGCCTACTACCGCTTTGCTGACTGAGTCGCCGTGATTAACCTCCCCACCATCATGTCGGGTCGGGGTAGGGGCCTTGGGGTTGGGCATTCAACCTTTTGGACGTAGGGAGAGAGGATTACGAATACAGAGTATGGTCGACAGCATGAACTTCAAATAGACAATATTGGTAGCTAGGTACCCCTCAAGTCCCAATGGATATACAAAAGCTAGTCATATTATAAAGAAGAGCAATATACTTCTCAAATCTCAACTTTATGATTGCATCAAGTGTCGAACTATAGAAGACTTTATATGACAGTCACTTAGCAAAATGAAATGATGGCAGTAAAACTACTTTAACAAAGCACATGTAAATATTGTTTGGGTATACCTTAATGTAATTATTAGAATCAAGGGTAAAACGGTGATAAATTCCAGCAGGTAGGGTGATCATCGCTCCTTTCTTCACCCAGATCCGGATCCATTCATCATTCTTATCGCGTACATCAAAATAACCTTCAATTGAAAGGAGTACAAAACATTAACAACTGTAAAACAACACTGATGAAGTAGAACTAAAAATATATGTTCTGATTGGTAAGGCTTGAGATTATGATGGAATAAAGCAAAATGGCTCACTAAACTGTCTGCGCTTCTTTGTTATGGAGCAACTGTCAGTCCATGCAATTTTGGACGCGATTTTCACTATGGGTCATCCGGAAACATTCTCTATGTGCTTTAGTACAGGGATAAGACTGCGTACATCCGACCCTCCCTTACCCCACCGTAAGCCTTTGCGGCACTGGGGTTAATGAAAATGAAAATGAAAATGCTGTATATACTGAACTTGAAATGGAAAATGTTTCCTAACATCCATTTCAACCGGAAGAGTGAAGGAAAAGCTGCTTAGCAGAATAAGCAAAAACTATGACTTCATCTGAACATAATGAAAATTTTATTATTATTTAATGCTAGTCCTGTACTCGGTATGTTTTATGTGTAGTATAGTATGATCTAGTCTCCAAGTACACAGGTCTTGATGCCAGACAAGTCCAGAATAGATTAAGACCTACCACTCCCGGCAACACAATAGCGGATTTCTTCATCAGTGTGAAGATGCTCTTCAAAGAAATTTTTTATCTTCTCTTCATAATTGGGCAACTTTTCAGGGCACACCTCACAAAAGTCCTGAAGAAGCATAGTGTATACAAATAGATGATAGCCTTGAAACAAGAAAAATGATTAAGCTTATACCAAAATATCAACAATTCCACTTTTTTTATTCTCACTTACCATGTATGAATATCCTCGGGATTCACGGATTTGCTTCAAAACCTCATCCTTTTCATAATTATCAGCATCTAACCTCCAGCTGAGCACTCCAAGCTCTAAGAGTTACAAATTAAGTATATGATGAACTGGATGATAAATGCTAATTGCATCATCAGATGAATAATGAAGTGTGGCGTCAAACAAGATACCATCAAGTTTGTCAAAGGAGACGAACAGATTTGGCTCACGGTGATGGGGAAGTCTCTGGTCTGCATTGCTATCATCCATATACCATGCCTGTATAACTTCTTCCCTGCTATCCTGCTTGAAAGAAAATTGTATACATAATGAAATAATAGAGCATCATTTTTCTTCCCAATTTTATTTCTAGGGCAAAACGTTCCAACTTTGATTGGAGAAAATCAAGTTAGTCAAGGAGTATTACGGAGTAATATTCTTTTTCGCTTTTCAAACCCGCCAATTGACTGCCATTTTCAGATCACCCCTAATAATTCATATCAATCCATCATGATTACTGGAATTGCAGTGGTACAAACAAAAAGTATAGGAATTTAAACGATTGCAAACAATAATCAACATCCATTCCTACAAAGAGGAAGAACTACTCCTAAATAATACGTATAATACTTAGGAAAGTGCAGATAACAGAGGACAATTGAAACGATTAACAAGAACATTTCAATTTTTTTCTTCTATCAATTGATTTCTTTTATCAGCTTTCCTATTCAACAACATATACGGAGTAGAAGATAGTAATTAAATAATTTCTCCATGTCGAAACTCAAAAGAATTCGAAATTGCAGCATGGAACCCTATATTCGTGCTGCACGAATATAAACTCTTGAAAAATCTGAAATTTAAAAAACAAATCCGGGTAGCATACAAATATCTGAACAAAAAAGTAAGGCCCGATAGAAATTTTTAGAGAAATGATTAAATAGTACCTTTCCGATGGAACCCATATTTTCAGTTTTCACAACCTGAGATTCGAACGCTGATTAATGAATTTCGTGTTCAAGCCGTTTGATAATATAGCAGTCGAAATATGATGCATCGGGTCTAATGGAAGGAATAAATTTTAGTCAAACGGTAAAGAGTAAAAACCATCTCCTAGAAAAACAAAACGAAAAGACTCAATTACCTCCCACCCGGTGTCCAGGTTAAAAGAATTGATTGAAACTGAAGCTAGTCTATTGAGGGTGTTTCCATCTTTCCAATTTCTAACTTTCCAGATTTATATTGAAAAGGTTGGCAACTTGGAATCGAATTCAGTAACTGATATCAGACTACCACATTTGCTTTAATAAAAATAAATGGTCTTAAGTCTTATAAATTAAAAAATAAAAATATTAAATATACGAAGTATATCCTAAAATTTGAACTGGAAAACGAGCCGACCAAATATCTGGATACGAGTAGACTCAAACCAGATCGGTTGGACAAAATGTGGACACTCTAAACAGGAGAAAAATATCGCGTCTCATAATAAAAGCTGCACTAAAATATTCTTCTTGACTCCTTGCATAATACTCTCTATGAATTCAAACAATCTTTTTGAATTGAGGTGCTTGTCCTCTACGAATCCTTCATCTAATAGCTAAGAACAGAAATGATTTAGTATCAAAATGGATTTCTATTGTTCTAACTGAATCACAAGAAATTGTATCGAATTCAATATCTGGACTATATAAAATATTTATGAATTTCAAAGATAAAAAGAAATAATTTGAGAAACTTGTTCTTAGTATCTTAGAAAAATATTTTGATTCATAGTTTCTCCTCCAAAAATGACTTATCCCATGGGTGAAAAAAGGTTGTGAAAGGAGTAGTAATTATATGGATCCTCTACGAACATACCTTCCAGTTGTGAAAGGAAAGAACATAACTTTAGTCACATATTTATTAATTAAAATTTAAATGATAAACAAATTGATGTTAAAATTTGAATAAAGGAAAGATAATTAATTTTAACCACATGTTTATTAATTTAAATGGAAATGATAAAATTATCTTGGATAAAGCTAAATGAGGATGATGGATAGTCTACCCGGGGTATATATCCGAAGGGTTATTACGAGGAGTAATTTAGAGAGAAGTTAGAGTAAGTGAATAAAAGTAGAGAGAGAGTGTATTCGGTATGAATGCCGTTTTCAGCGTGGTTACAAATGAGGAAATGGGGTGCTATTTATAGTAGCAATAAATGCCGGGCAGGGACACGTGTCAAGCGCTCATTGGCCGAGGGGTCACCTCAACTGGTTGGCGCTGGCAGCCGCATGTGGCCGCATTTAATGCGGCTGTTGGATGGGACGTCTGTGCGGGGCACGATGATCTGTACGCATGTGAGGCGGATATCTTGTCGAGTGAGATGCCTTCGGCTATAGAGCAGTAGCCGAGGGCTCTTCCACCCGATGGCACCCTGGTGCCGAGGGCTCACAGTGCCGAGGGCTACTGTTTTTGCCGTTTTCTCCCAGTTTCTTAATTTGCTTGAGAAACCCGTTCTGTGAGAATTTGGAGCCTTCGGCCGGGGGGCCGAAGGCACCCCTGGCGCGTAGTGCGGGCTGCTTGGTACCCTGGGCGCTGTGATTTGGGCCTGTTGGGCCTTTTGGGCCTGTTGGGCCTTTGCTGGAGTAGTAGGAGTCTGTGGGCCGGGGGTTCCCGGGCCATAAACTCCATCAGGAGTCCCTCACTCCTTTTGCCGAAAGGTACTTGAGGGAAAATGAGTAATTTGTGCTTGCCCTTTGATGTTGTCCCGTCATGATCTCTGAAGTTGGTGAGGAGTCGTTGCTTTTATGTCCCTGCCGAAGGCAGTCCCTCAGTTACCCACATGTCGGGACTTGAGGGCTTGCTTTGTTGTTTGTTGGAATTTCACAGATTTTGTAATTTAATGATTTTCCCGAGGGGGTCCTCCAGTCCCCCACTCCTTGAGGCACTTGTAGAGTGGTGAAAAGGAGTAAAGTAGTTATGTTGCTGTTGTGGGCCGAAGGCTGACGCTTTTCGTTTCATTTTGGGGGGATGCCTCGTTAAAAACCTCATTAGGAAAAACCCTTTGGGAAAAAAATCCTAATGAGGGAAAAAGAGTGCACCGAATTCCCCCAATGATGAATCGAAAATGTCAAACCTTGGTAAAAAATGGAGAATGACGGGAATGCCGAAGGCTCTCTCTTCTGAGGGCTCCTGTGTTGATTAGCCGAAGGCTTACTGTTGATGTCCTGGTGGCGCCGAAGGGGAGCCCCTCAATCCAGGGATCGAGGGCCTGCCAGATGAAGGCAGCAGTGGAGTTGTTACCGGGGGGTCCACTGTTTGTTGATTGGTTGGTGATGAAGATACCCGAGGGCTCCCATTACCTGTGTGCCGTGGGTCATCCGTCAATGAGGCAACTCCCCGGGGGCTACCCGGTTTTGCAGTGCTGAGGGGGAATCCCCGAGGGGGTGTCCTGATATGAAGCCCTGGGTTTCTGAAGGAGTGATCCCGAAGGCGTGTGTAATGTGCTGTGTGGGGCACAACCCGGGGGCACTTCTGGGTGAGTGCACCCGGAGGCTATCCTTGATGAAGTGGAGTGAAGTAGAAGACCCGGGGGCTTCCAGAATATAGCCGTTGGAAATATAGCCGTTGGAATATGTAACGACAGGATATAGCCGTGGGGGGGGGGGGGGGTGGCACACGTGGCGTGTGATGGCTGGCTGTTCGTGGGCGGCGTCACCGGTTGGGTGAAACGGCGGTGTGTAATGATGGCGGTCCGTCCGGAGGCCCGGAATCCAGGCCCAAGCCCGGATTCATCGCCTATAAATACCCCAAGGCCAGAGCCATTTCCCCTGTGCGAACTCAGTTGTCTTAGCGAAGCTCTGCCAAAAAATCTAGTGAGAGAAACTCAAGCCTTCGGTCCTAACTCAGCTTTCGAGGTCAGTGCTCCCTGCCTTTCTCCTTCTAGTATAGCTGTACGTTGCGCCCTCGGTTTAGGAGATAGAATTCACTAGAAACCTTAGTTCCCCCGAACCCTCGAGCTAGAGATAGAATGTCGTCTCAGAGTGACTCTCAGGACATCTCGAGGACGCCCTCGATGGAGGACGAGGGCATCTGCGACGTGGAGTCCAGCAGTGGCCAGCCCTCGGACAGTGCTGATGCCGTCCTGGCCCGGGAGGTCCAGAAGGAACTCATTGCGGAGGTCGAAGCCGAGGGCTTCGAGCAGGAGTGCGAGGACGAAGACTTAGCCCTCGCATGGCAAACAGCGGAGGATGAGGCACAGAATGAGAGCTCGAAGGTTACGATTGCTGTTCTCCCCCCTCGGGATTCCGGGGAGGCCAGTAGCTCGAGGCCGTTGGATCCGATACCTCTGAGGGCGGTTTCCGGTTTGAAGAAGAAGAAGGCCGCTACCAAGAAGAAGGAGAGGGCCGTCGATCAAGGAAAGCCCGTGGACATGCCCGAGGGGTACAGTTGGCTGAACACTGAGGCCCTCGAGATCAGGTCGAAGGCTGACAGGGCAGATCTGTACGTGACTCAGCTGCACGTGGGGCCCTCGGCCGAAGTGGTGGAGCCAGGTCCCGATGACGTGTTGTCCAGGGCGCCCGAGGGGTGTATCGCTATTCACGTCCTTTCGGTTTCCATGGGACTTAGGTTCCCTATGCACCCATTCCTCCGGGAATATTTGAGGTTTGTTGGCTTGGTCCCCTGCCAACTCACGCCCAACAGCCACTCCTACATTGCGGGGTTCCTCCAGCTCTGCAAGTCCCGAGGGGTGAAGCCCAGCCTGGATCTATTCTTCCAGAGCTTTAATTTGTGCCGGGGGGGGGGGGCACGAAAACGGCGAGGGGTACGCCAACCTGCAGCAGATTGCCCGCTTCAAACTATTCTCCGATGCTCCTTCTTCCAACAAAGGATGGAGGGAACGTTGGTGCTACGTAAAGTTGGATGAGAGCCCATTCCCGAGGGAGCTGCGTGATCGATTCCGAAGGCACGAAAAGATCAGGAGTGCCGCTCTCGAGAAAGACGGCCTAAAGCTGGCCAAGTTCCCGGAGGGGAAAAATAAGAACGTGGCGATCAAAGACTGCACCCTCGAGGAGGATTTATACACCCTCGGGTTCCGGAGGTACCGCTTCATAGGGGAGACCGATGAAAAGTACCCTGCCTTCAACAAGGCCTTCGGAGGGGCCGGAGGTAGGAGCCGAGGGCTTTAGAATTTTGTACTTAGTTTTTTTTTGCTTGGATGTTATTGTCCCTTCGCTTAGACCCGTCGGACTAACCCTTTGTCTCCTTTGTGCAGGTATCCCCGTCTCTATGGTGAACGTAAAGGGCCTTGCTCGTCTGAAGAAACAGGACCCGAAGGGGTCGGGACAGGGCAGCCAGAAGCCCGCCACTGCCCTCTTTAAGAAAGCCGAGGGTGATGCCGCTGCCGGCAAGAGGAAGGCAGCGACCAAGGGGTCCCCCCCGGCTACCAAAAAGCCGAAGAAGGGGGATGTCGCCGAGAAGGAGCCCCCGGTCATTATCGCTGATGAGCACCCCGCCTCCAGGGTGCATGTGGAGAAGCCGTCGGGTGAAACGCCGGCAGGGGCAGAGGAGTTGCTGCTTGAGGTCCTCCAAGTCTCGTTCCCGAGGGGGACATCCCTGGCCAGCGGCGCTGTCGACCCGGGGGCCATCTTGAGGGGCATAACCCCTGAGACTGATAGGGCTGCCCTCGGGGCTTATAACGATGCGGCTCTCGAGGACCACATCCTCCGCTCCTCCCTTTCTGTAAGTGTTTACTCAGCTTTCCTCCTTTTCTCCTTTGATTATATTGTGCAATTGTTTTTAACCATTTTGGTTGTTGGTCTGCAGGCTTGTCTAGCCCTCGGTGAACATGCCCGGAGGCTTCAAGAATGGCGCCTCCATAAAGCCGAGCAGGATGCCAAGATGAAAGAATGCATCCTCAAAAATAAAGAGGCGGTGAAGCTGGGGGCCAGGCTGGAAGAGGAGCTTCGGCAAATGGAGCAGAGATTGGAGGCCGCAGAGAAGGGCAAGGCTGACGCTGAGGCCGCTGCTGAGGAGGCCAGGAGGGCTGCCAAAGAGGCCGAGGACTCCAAGGCGCTGGCCGTCGCCAAGGCTCGGGAGGAAGCCGTTGATGCCTTCGTCGCCGAGGGCTGGAGGGCCGAGGGACGCAAGATGTGGCTGTCCTCGGTTGTGGAGGCACACGTCGAGGAATGGGCTGAGGGCCCTGGGTGGGAATGGATGGCCCGGAAGGGCAGAGAGTACTATGAAGCCGGCGAATTCTTCACCCAGGCCCTCATCTACCGGAGGATGGCCCGACATTTGGGCATTGAGCAAAAGGACTTCTCCCCCTCGGCGTATGGCCTTCCTCCCCTGCAGCCTGATGTCCGTGAGTCGCTCCCGGAAGGTGTTCAGAGGCCCGACCTTGAGGACACGGAGTTGAAGAATGAGGCCGAGGACGACGCTGTCGAGACCGGAGCGGAGGCATCATCGAGGCCGGCTGCAGAGGGTGCCCCGGTGAATGATGCTGTTGTAGTTGTAGAGTGACTTTGTATTTAAAAATCCTTGAACATATTTTGTAATGAACAACTTTGATCCTTCGGCTTCGGCCTGTTTGTAAATTTCACACTTACTCTGTTTTTGATGAATGCATGCTGCCCCCGGGCTTTTTACATTTGAATGCGCCTTATGTTTTGAATGTATGCCTCCTACTTCTTGAATGTATGTTTTAGGACTTAGAATATTTTTCGATTGCAACTTGCCCTTGGAAGCCTTCGGTAGTTGGGCACCCTCTGCTGGATATGCAACCGAGGGTTCAGCAGGAATTAGGACTTAGAAAATT